TATTAATCCTGAATGGGACTAAAAGTAGCCCATAATTCCACAATAGGAATATGTTCTTTTTATTCCCAAAATAGGAATAATATATGTCTCTTCTTCCTATTCTACCGCCAACCTATAATTTCTAATAGATTTATTTATTAATAAAAAATAGTTTTATTTATAATAGAAACATGGGAGATTTACCCAAATAGGAGTAAAAAAATCCTTAATTGTTAAAATAGGAGCAAAGTTTAAAATTTCCCTAAATAGGATTTATTATTTTTTGATGGACAGAAATACCCTGAAGCTTAGTAAACCCCACTGCAGCCACCAGAACGCCGGACCTACCGCCGCCAGCGACCGGCCGCCGCCGCCGCCGGTTTCTTGCCGGATCACTGCCAGTCGCTGGATGCCGTCGTCGCTGCAAATCTGACTTTGCCGCCGTAGATCTAACCAGATCTGGCCGCCGCCGGCCGCCGCTCCTACGGATCCCGCTGCCACCGCTACAGATCTGGCCACCACCACCACTACTGCCAACATTTTTATTCGAATGCCAACATGAATAAAAAATGACATCTTAATGGCATTTTCAATGGAAAAAATGGCATTTTTGAAGAGTAAAAATTCCATTTTTATGGCATTTTAAGAAATAACTTAAACACTTTTTCAAATCAAAGCAGATGAAGAAGAAGGTGTCGTTATTAAATGCATATGGACGATGGACATGAGAATCTCAAATTTTCAGGATCTCAAATGAGGGAGAAAGAGATAAACAGAAGAGAGCGGAGGAATTTAACGCAGAAGAAGGAAGAGACCGTGAAGAACAAGTCTCGATTTGAAAATCAGATCTGAAATCCCTGCTAGACGCCGCCGCTCACCGGTCACTCCTTCGCCACTCGTCACCGCTCTCTGTTGCTCTCACCGCAGATCTCCATGAGCGTCCATCTATCCTTAAGCCTGGTGCGGACAGTTCATTGTTGCAGGGGAAAGCCTCCATTTCAATTTTGCTTTCTGTCGAAGATGAAGAATGAAAAGCCTGGTGCGGACAGTTCATTGTTGCAGGGGATGAAAGGCTTGTGTGGATAGTTTTTTGTGAAAGCCTAGCCGCATGATTAAATTGCAAGGGGTAAAATTGTAACCATGGTTCTATTTGGGGAATAAAAAAATGAATACTCCCATTTAGGAATTTAAACATTAAGTTAGTCCTATTTAGGACAATAACTCTAGAAACATCAAAAATCGTGAAAATATTTATAAATTCAAAAAAAATTGGGAAAAAAGAATTTAAAACAGCTTAAAAATCTAAAAAATGAAATAAAATATCTAAAAAAAATATTAAAAACATGTAGGCTACTACCTCTGCATTCTCCACATCGATCGTCGGGAAAAATGTCATCTTGTGTAAAATGCCACATTTCTCTGAAAATGTCATGAAGATACATTTTTACTCTTTTAAAATATCTAATTTTCTTTTCAAAGTTGCCATCACGATGACATTTTCCCTCTCAACTTGACATTCTTTTCCGACTACCGGAGGTGGCGGTGCTGGAAGGTGGATGAGGTGGTGGTTGAGGTATGTATATTTTTTATTTATTTTTTTACGATTTTTATATTTTGATTTAATTTTTTTATGTTATATAATGATTTAAAACAAAAACACAAAATTCACCCTTGTGCTTTAAGACGTTTATTAATTAAACAAGTACAAGAAATTCCACAGGGAATTGAAAAATTAAAATTGATATTGAAACGTACGGAGTAGTAATGTGAGCAAATGAAGTTTCATTCATGAAAAAGAGGATTAATTACCACCACTCATCTCCTTACCATACCATCCGTCTCTATCATTTGAGTCCACCATCAAGCTTTTCGATCTCTTTCCGCGCACCCAATTTTCACTGAAGCACCTCTATCAAATGGATATGGCTTCACGCCTTCTACGAACATCGTTCATAAATGAAGGACCAGATGGGGACAAAAGAAGAGGTAGAAGCAAAAATGAAGTGCACGCAGTATTATTACAAACTTATTATTTGTTGACTCCATATGTACTTTCCCCAGCCTCCATTTGCAGTGTAGGTTGTGCGGTGAAGTAGAATTAAAAATGAAGGGACGCAGAGTGCAACTGTACTCCACATTTTTTTTTCTAGCATCTTGCAGAGTTCAAGTGCTAATGTACTTTTACAAATTTTTTTTCACTGGTGCGATGCATCGGAAATAATTTCTTCAAGTATTTATACAAAAAAAAAAATCGTTAAAGGAAATAAAAAAATTGTAACAATACATACAAAATGTCATTGTTATACAAATACTATGCAAAGATGAGCAATTTAAAGGAATACATAAAAATAAAATTATAACAAAATAAAATGTCAATATAGATGTTTTTTTAAAGGAAATAGAGAAGTAGTTAGTTTACTGGAAAGATTACAATTGATGTGTTGTTATCATAACAAAAATATTACGTAGTATGAAGTTTGCTAAAAGGAGTACAAAATGCTAACTAAAAGATAAAAACTAAATATTAAAATTATTTTTGTAAGGTAGCAAAGTTTGATAAACCTGGGGGCAAGATATCTAGGATTGTCAATGCAAGAAGTATGAAAATTTTCTATTTGGAGACTTGGAGTGATCGATAAGGCTAGAGTCCAGCATGAAAGATTAGGTGACTTCTCCTAATATTAAACGTAGTAGTAAATCTAAAGAATGGAGAATTTGAACTCTACAGAAGTGCTAAGCTTAAAGCAATGCAGAAAAATTATACTCCCTCCATTAACTTTAAAATCTTCCCATTTCAAAAGTAGGTAAATTAAGAATAGTGAAAGATGATATGAATTATTGAGGGTATGATGGGAAAATAGTGGAATAATGTGGTGAAATGTAGGATAAATCCAAAAAAAGTAGTTGTAATAGTGTATTATTTTAAGAATTATTAAGGGTATGATGGGAAGATTTAGAAATGAGAAGTTTTTTTTGTTACGGATGAAAAAGGAAAGTGGGAAGATTTTTAAGTTACGGAGGAAGTACTCGGTAAAAAATTATCTCCACTAAGCCAGGCTGCCAGAGTGCCAGGGGTGTAGTACTACGTACTCCCCCCCCCCCCATAGTCCGATTCACGTTCTTCTTTGCACTCACTATTCATTAGTCAACTTAAATCATTCTTAATCTTTTATTTTATATATCAAATTTTTATCAAAAAATTAAATTCTTTTGATCAGGCTTTGTAGCGGGTTTAATGTAGTTTCTGAATATGTAAATTTTATTTACTAAAAACAATCTGAGTACGAACAGGGATCGAGTTGCTTTATCGTCGGTCAAACATTTTTTTCCAAGTGTAAAGAAGAATATGAACCAAAGGGAGTATAATACAGACAGCCATTAAATATTGGTGATAACTCCGGTACCCATTTAAAAAATGGGGGTACCGTACCTACCATGCATTTGATTGGTCCAAATCATTAAATTCCTTTTAATTTAGATTTAAATAATTCAACTGCATGATTCTGATTGGTCCATGTGGACAAAGGTACGGTACCTTATGGGTACCATAGAATCTACCTTAAATATTTACTGGTCCGCAGCCCTAATGTATTTGTTGATTGTGTTAAACTATTCATTGGCTTTCGATAAGAAGTTACGTTGCACGGCAGGGACACTACTAGTTGAGCAATGAATTCATTTATACACATTCGTTTCTGTGAAGAGTTATTTTTTTGTCTGTATACAGACATAACGTATTTGAGAATACGTTATGTCTGTATACAGACAAAAAATAACTCTTGACAGACACGAGTATGTATAAGTGCGTATGAAAAGTGTGTACCTCAAGTGTGAATGATCATTTAATTAACCCATCTTCCAACCTTCATTCGAAGTTGAAAAAGGTTCATGCGAGCTCAGGATATCATTGTGCCTGGGGTTTGTTTTATTTTTATTTTTATTTTTATTTTTATTTTTATTTATATCATACATGCTAAAGTAATCACATTAAAGTCATTTGGCTGCGTACATCTCACGGAAAGTTTTGGCGGGAACTTCTTCTCCAAGAAATCTTTTGCTATTGTAGATAGATAGATAGATAGATAGATAGATAGATAGATAGATAGATAGATAGATAGATAGATAGATAGATAGATAGATAGATAGATAGATAGATAGATAGATAGATAGATAGATAGATAGATAGATAGATAGATAGATAGATAGATAGATAGATAGATAGATAGATAGATAGATAGATAGATAGATAGATAGATAGATAGATAGATAGATAGATAGATAGATAGATAGATAGATAGATAGATAGATAGATAGATAGATAGATAGATAGATAGATAGATAGATAGATAGATAGATAGATAGATAGATAGATAGATAGATAGATAGATAGATAGATAGATAGATAGATAGATAGATAGATAGATAGATAGATAGATAGATAGATAGATAGATAGATAAGAAAAAAGGTAAAATGGTGAAGCCAATATCACTTTAATTATGTCATTTCTTAATCCCGTGCCGATCAACTTTTGCAAGGCAACTCGGGAAGTAGGGAGCAACATTTTTGTCTGCATGTTTAATTTTATTTTAGTAATAATATTTTAGGAAAGAAATATTTGTTTCAAGCTATGAACAACTTACGATAAAAAAAAAGCTATGAACAACTACAAATAGAAGAGTTTTTTTTTTCTGTTCCATCTACATACACAGCTACACTATCAGGCTACCAAACACACAAAGATCGTGTGTTAGATGCCTGATGTGTGAAATGATCGACAAATTAGTTCATCAACAATCAAGATTGTTAGCCGATATTTATTATTATTATTATTATTTGTACAAATTTATCATGTAACGTTCTATGTACGTAGAGTGTAAATTAGATTAGGAGTGTTATTCTCCAATTATTCTTTCCTTTCTTTCATCCTTAATTTACGCATGGCAGTACTACTCCACCTTGTAAAGTGCCCATGCGTGTTGTATATAAGGACGGATCCTACGGATCATCAGAGGCAGAATATACAGAAAATACTTTCCCATCTTGCTCCTCGTTTTACATGGTATCAGAGCGCTGATCTTGGGACCGACTAATCGCGCAATTCGTGACTGAAGATGGCTGGCCAGACAAGGAGCTTTGGTGAAGGAAACCGTGAACAAGGTGAACGGAGGAAAATCAACGACCCTTCCTCACCATACTACCTGTCGAGTTCGGACTTTCCGGGGTTACACATCTGTGCGGTTGCTCTCAAGGGTGAGAACAACTATCGGGAATGGGCGACGGCGATGAAGAACGCGTTCCGTGCAAAATGGAAATTGGGGTTTCTGGATGGGACCATTAAACGACCGGTGAACAATGAAAAGGACCTCGAAGATTGGCACACCGTCAACTCCATGGCGGTGGGCTGGATTATGACTTCGGCAGATCCGGCTATTCGTTCTAATCTGGCCTATATGGACAGTGTTTGTGACTTATGGAACGACATCGAGGCACGCTTCTCTGTTGGAGATGCAATGAGAACTCATGAATTGAAGGAGTTGATTCGGAATTGCCGTCAACAAGGGCAGCCAATCACCACCTATTTTTGGCGACTCAAGACGCTTTGGGATGACTACGATGGCGTTCGGAATTTTCCCCAGTGTACCTGCAATGGTTGCACTTGTGATCTCAAAAAGTTGTTCATCAAATATATTGAAAATGAAAAAACCCATGATTTCTTGATGGGCCTTGACACCGAGACCTATGGTAATTTGCGGTCCAACATACTCGGAGCGGATGATTTACCGTCATTGACTAAAGTGTACAACATGATTGTACAAGAAGAAAGACTTCAAAGTCTGACCCGGGGACGTGAACAGAAGCATGAAGCAGTAGCTTTTGTTGCACGCACTGGACCAACTGGTGGGAAGGATGAACGAGAAAAATGTTCCTATTGTCAAAAGTTTGGGCATGATTTTCACAATTGCTTTCGACGCACTGGAAACTACCCGGAGTGGTGGTATGAAAACCCGGGACGGGCTCGCGGCGGAAGAGGACGTGGAGGGTCCAGTCGTGGCGGGGCTGGACGTGGAGGAACGGGCAGAGGAACTGGACGTGGGACTGCCCATGCCATGCATGTGGGTGAACTCCAGGGAGATGGCACGCCGGCACAAGGAACGAAGGAGATGGTCTTGCATAAGCCGGGATTTACCGATGAACAATGGCAGGTTCTTATAAAACTGATGGAAAACTGTAAGACATCTTCCTCGGGAGAAAAACTCACAGGTATGAAAATTGATATTGAGTGGCTGCTTGACTCTGGAGCCTCATACCATATGACCGGGAATAATAAAGCATTGACAGATTTAGTGCGTATAGCACCTGTGGCCGTGATATTACCGAATGGGGAGTGTACTGAAGCCACTCACGTAGGAAATGTGGCTCTTAGTACAAGCCTAGAATTAACTAATGTTCTGCTCGTGCCTGGATTAAAATGCAATTTAATTTCCTTGGCCCAGTTGATTGATAACCGAAAATGTGATGTATTTTTTACTAATGATTTGTGTGTAATACAGGACCTACCTACGAGGATGCCGATTGGAGTGGGTGAACGACGAGGGGGAGTTTATTTTTTCCGGGGTCTGGATCGAGCTCAGGCATATGCAGTGGGAAGTTCAGACTCAGGTGGATTGTGGCATTCAAGGTTGGGTCACCCGTCAATAAAAGTACTCCGTTTGCTTGGTCGTTTAAATAATTCGTTGTTGCGTTCTGTTGAAAATAAAGTTTGTGATGCTTGTATAAGAGGCAAGCAAACACGTGATAGTTTTGTTGTTAGTAATGCTAGAGCTATTGAACCATTTGAGTTAATACATTGTGATATTTGGGGGCCCTATCGTGTTATGTCTACTTGTGGTGCTCGATATTTTTTTACTGTGGTGGATGATTTTTCTAGAGCTGTTTGGGTGCACTTGATGCAAGACAAAAGTGAAGTAAAAAATATTCTTAAACAATTCATAGTCATGACCAAGCGACAATTTGATAAAAATGTGAAGGTTGTGAGAAGCGATAATGGAAAAGAATTTGTTAGTCTGCAGGAATATTTTTTGACTAATGGGATTATTTTTCAAACCAGTTGTGTGTATACCCCCCAGCAGAATGGTAGAGTGGAGCGGAAGCATAGACATATTTTGGAAATGGCTAGAACTCTCCGTTTTCATGCAAACTTACCTATTATTTTTTGGGGTGAGTGTGTATTGACAGCGGGATATTTAATTAATCGTTTGCCCTCTCCCGTGATAGACAATAAAAGCCCCTATGAGTTGCTATATAACAAAATGCCGTTGTATAGACAGTTGAGGGTTTTTGGTTGTCTTTGTTACGCACGTGAGCCCAACCATGGAGGAGATAAATTTGCACCTCGCGGTATAAAATGTGTTTTTTTGGGATATGCCTATTCACAAAAGGGTTGGAAGGTGTATGATTTGCAAAACCAACGCCACTTCGTTTCACGAGACGTGAAATTTATTGAACACGAATTTCCCTATAAAATGGGGGAACCTATCTTGCCTCATGACTCACCTCCCAGGAACGACATGCATGCACTTATGCATGGGGTTGATAACAATGACATGTCTCATACGTATGAAGGCAGTGATACGTGTACAAGGATTGTGCAGCCAGAAAGAAGGGAAGCAGTTGACTCAAGCCATGAGGTGGATAACGGACATGATCATGAGACTGGGTCTGGAAACGATATGTCGAGTGATGACATGGATGACGCAGGCCATGCCGATAATGATGGACTGCCCAGACGGAGTGAGCGTGCTCGAAAGGTACCGGCGTGGCATCATGATTACGAAGTACAGATGAACACGGTTAAAATAAACTCTCCCCCTGTCGGCGTCCCTACTCTCACGGCGGATTCAGGAAATCCTTATTCACTATCTCATTATATAAAATATGATCATTTTTCGGTTCCGCACCGAGCTTTTCTTGCAGCTATCACTATGACTAAGGAACCGAGTACATATGGAGAAGCAGCTCGTGATCCTCATTGGAGGGATGCTATGAGTCGTGAAATTCAGGCTCTTGAGCGTACAGGGACGTGGGCAATCCAGGACTTGCCACCCGGGAAGAAAGCTATCTATTGCAAGTGGGTGTACAAAATCAAATACAAAAGTGACGGGACGGTGGAGCGATACAAGGCACGACTGGTTGTGTGCGGGAATCGCCAAGTGGAGGGCATTTATTACGGGGAAACATTTGCTCCGGTTGCAAAGATGGTTACGGTGCGTACCATTTTGGCGGTAGCAGCCTCCCGCCATTGGGAGCTACATCAAATGGATGTCGATAATGCCTTTCTCCATGGTGATCTGCACGAAGAAGTTTACATGCATTTACCACCGGGGTATTCAGCCTCCTCTCCTGGCAAGGTATGTCGTTTGCTGAGGTCCTTATATGGGCTTCGACAGGCGCCACGATGTTGGTTCTCTAAACTCACATCTTCTTTACGTGATCATGGTTTTACACAATCTCATGCGGATTATTCCTTGTTCACCAAACGCAAAGATAATCGTATCGTATGTGTTCTTATTATGTCGATGATCTATTGATCACTGGCAATGACCGAACCATGATAATGGAATTTAAAGCATATCTTGCCTCCACATTTCCTGTTATGGATTTGGGAGTCATGAAATATTTCCTCGGAATTGAGGTTGTCAGGAACCCATCAGGGATTTTTCTGTGCCAACGTAAATATGTGTTGGACATCCTCACTGAGACCGGACTATCAGGGTGCAAGCCGGTTACTTTTCCGATGGTACAAAATCATCGATTGCAGTCAGATTCTAGTCCTCATTTTTCTGATCCTGAGCGATACCGGAGACTTGTTGGGAAACTTATATATTTGACGTTGACTCGGCCTGATATTTGCTACTCTGTCCACATTCTCTCCCAATTTATGCAAAAACCCAGAGTAGCTCATTGGGATGCAGTGCTTCGTGTTCTTAAATATCTTAAGGGGCGGCCCGGACAAGGGATTCTATTACGTTCTGATTCGTCTCTCTCCCTCACCGGCTATTGTGATGCAGATTGGGCAAGTTGTCCGGTCACTCGCCGATCTGTTACAGGTTACTTTGTATCACTTGGATATTCTCCTGTGTCGTGGCGGACCAAGAAGCAGGCCACTGTTTCTCGATCCTCCGCGGAAGCTGAGTACCGGTCCATGGCTTCCTTGACGTGTGAGCTCATTTGGCTACGAAATTTACTTCAGTCTCTAGGCGTCACACATTCTGGACCGGTTCATCTCTTTTGTGATAATCAGGCCGCATTAATTACACATTGCGTCAAATCCAGTGTATCACGAACGCACCAAACATATTGAGCTTGATTATCATTTTATACGAGATCATATTCAAGCCGGTACCATTCAACCTTCTTATACGCCTACTACGGATCAACCGGCGGACTTGCTTACTAAAGCCCTTGGAGCACAACAATTTTCCTATCTACTTGGCAAGATGGGCATTTGTGACCCCATGCTCCATCTTGAGGGGGGGGTGTTAGCCGATATTTATTATTATTATTATTATTTGTACAAATTTATCATGTAACGTTCTATGTACGTAGAGTGTAAATTAGATTAGGAGTGTTATTCTCCAATTATTCTTTCCTTTCTTTCATCCTTAATTTACGCATGGCAGTACTACTCCACCTTGTAAAGTGCCCATGCGTGTTGTATATAAGGACGGATCCTACGGATCATCAAAGGCAGAATATACAGAAAATACTTTCCCATCTTGCTCCTCGTTTTACAAAGATTGAATGATACATGGAAGATACTAACGAACACTTTGTCATGGTGCGTCAAAACAAATTCAATACTAACACTTATACGTAGTATAACGTAGTAGAGTTCGTATCCACAGGGAAAGGAATAATTCTCTTTTTATAAAACTAGTAAATAAAAGGGGATTTAGGATTGAATGATTTAATTTAATTAAACACAAAGATGAACAACTTATATATGATTTAATTCAAAGATAAAAATGACTTGGCATTGCTACTTTCCACTTGTTGATATATTTTAGTCGATCATTGTTATATCTATAACTTATCCCCTCTCGAATACTCAATCGAGGATTATATCCAATTCATCGAGGGTAGTTATTAACAACGACCATTCATTAATAACTCTTACTATAAGTCAAGTATAGAACACCGCCATATATATACCGACTTGAGAGTAGCATTTAATCTCTTAACTCCTTGATGAAATCAAATGAGATTGATAACCTCAACACAACGGTTTTGGTTTAACCAACAAAATTAATCCTTCTTAAGTTTATTAACCAAGACCGTGCATTAATAAACCGAAGTTACTTACTTGTGAAACCATCAACGATTAACAAGCGTATTCGTCGATCAATTCTAGTAATAATTAATAAATGAAACAAAACTAGTTGATCCTTTAAGTAATGTTCAAAATATTAATATAAAATATGAATAGGAATTAATTAATATTCAAGGAATAATATTAAAGATGATAAATCCTACTATAACTAATGTCAAGATGTTAACTAATTGTCATTTTAGCAACACTCCCCAACATTAATATATAGAGGAAGAAAATAAATACTACTATAACTAATGTCGAGATATTAACTAATTGTCATCTTAGACACACTCCCCAACATTAATATATAGATAAATTAAAAGAAGAATTAATATTCAAGGGAAGAAGTTAAAAAAATAACTCACAACTTTAATAATCAACAAGCTTCAAGAGCAACACCAAGAAATGGAAGTTTAGCTCCTCATTTGGAGACTAAACATGCTATAAAAATATAAAAGAAATACTATTCTAAGTTGAGCTTAAAAGTATGGAAGAAGGAATGATTAAAAGTGAAGAAAAAGTGTGTTATTTATAGGTGTTTTCAACACCCTGGGGCAGATACCCGACCGGGTAAATGGGCATACCCGACCGGGTAATTGTCAAAATCAGATATTTGCCCACGATTTCGTGTTTTCAGCACGTCGGATTGTCCCCGGTCAAGTCTCACCCGACCGGGTGAGGTAGTGGGCCCGACCGGTCCATGTAGTTTCCTTGCTAGTTCGGTTTTCACTTCTTACCCGACCGGGTGAAGATTTATACCCGGTCGGGTTTTAGCTCCTAGGCAGTCAAATCTCCTTTTTCTTCACTTCAAAGTCTCCCTTTCCAACACCATAATTCCTAATTCTACTTTCCAACTTACAAATGAAGATTAAAATACAATTACAACTAAAATAACACAAATGTTTACAAACTAAATAAAACGATAAACAATACACACAAATCAAACATAAAAACATACACTTATGCACTACTAATTAGTGCATATCAAACACCCCCACACTGTAACCTTTACTCGTCTCGAGTAAATCAAATCTAGTCCAAGAAGTCCCTAAATTGGAAAGAGTATTCACACAAACATCCAAGAGTGTTTTTCGAACAACACAAAAATATCCCCAAAAAATACAAGAGTAAAGAGGGGTCTTCATCTCCATACTTCCTATCAACCTCAATTTTTTCATTGTTACCCTTAGGATCCTGCAGAAATAAAAGAGATATTTTCTCCCATTCTCTCATTTTGCCTAGGTGCCCTTTCGGGTTTTCATCCCAGCTTTCCACATTTTTCTGTTTTATTTCTCACAACTCACTCTTATTTTTGCTTTATTTTTGCTTAAGTTGCCCTTTCAGATTTCCAACTTAACAAGCTTTTTATTCTCTTTTTTTTGAACATTTTTTTGAACAAGAATAAAGAGTATGAATGCGAGTAGTCCATAAAAATGACAAGCTTAATAATCAACAAGCTTCAAGAGCAACACCAAGAAATGGAAGTTTAGCTCC